GAGGGAGGGAGGGAGGGAGGGAGGAAGGAAGAAAGGAAGGAAGGAAGGAAGGAAGGAAGGAAGGAAGGAAGGAAGGAAGGAAGGAAGGAAAAATGAAAGATAAGGATGTAAAATGAAAGAGGGAAGAAAAGAAGGGAGGGAAGGAAAAGGAAGGAAAGAAGGTGGGAGGGTGGGAGGAGAGAGGGAGGGAGGGAAGGAAGGAAGGAAAATGAAAGAGAAGAATGTAAAACAAGAGAGGGAAGAAGGGAGGGAAGGAGAAGAAGGAAAGAAAGAAGGTGGGAGGGTGAGAGGAGAGACGGGTGGAGGGAAGGAAGGAAAATAAAAGAGAAGAATGTAAAACAAGAGAGGGAAGAAGGGAGGGAAGGAGAAGAAGGAAGGAAGGAAGGTGGGAGAGAGAGAGGAGGGAAGGAAGGAAGGAAGGAAGCAAGGAAGGAAAATTAGAAAGGATGGATGGATTCTGGACCAGCTTATAACTTTTTTCATCCATGGATATAGCACCAGAGGTCAAGAGATGTCTTATGTCCTTACAACTGCAAGTCCCAGTTACGATTTCCTATAATCCTCTGGAAGCTCATCTGCCATGAATCTTAGAACCGCACCATTATCTGGAAGCAAACTGCCAGTCCACCGCTATTGATTGGCACCAACCACCTACCACGGAAGGCCAAGGGTGGTCCTTCTGCTTCCTTGGGGCAGAGTCCACCAGGAGTAGGAAATGCTTGGTAAAGCCTCCATCCACGGAGCAGAAGGCTCTCCGCCCTCCAGGTGCTCAGAGTCCTGGGCAGAGCGATATAAGCAGCAGCAGCCCCGCCTGGACTTGATAGCACATAATGGAATTTCATTCATATTCATGGAGCTGTAATCTCCAGAGTCACTGGAGCAAGCCGATGGAGTGAAAATTTACAGCCTTGCCTGCCGCTGCCTGATGAAGCGCAGGGTTTACCCATCACTGACTCTAATTAAATGGGAAATTTAAAACATTAACTTTGGCAGCCGCCCCTGGAGGATTTCCCAAGCATAAATTGTGCTTCCCAGAAGTTAACCAAAGCCAAGGAGGAGCCCACCAGGAGCTACTATTCGTGGCCCACTAACAGTCCTTCTGGGATCTCCTCCGTTTCTTTCAACATGGTGCCTGTGTGGGTTTGGAGTGCTAAAATGGGGTTCACACAATGTAATATAGGGCCATAACTTGGTTTTGGACTCAGCTGCTCGCTCAAGAGAACCTGGTTAAAAACCAGCCTTTTAGAAAATAGGAAGGTTTTCAAGATGAAGAATGCACATGTTACCTGTATACCCTTTCCTTTAAATGTAGAAATTAGAATAGAATAGAACACAACACAACACTATACCATACAGAATAGAATTAGGAATAAAATATAATAAATTAGAATAGAATAGGGTATAGAACAGAGTAGAATAGAAACTGTCTTTGTGTCTAGTTGTTCTGGCATGTAATACCCTATATCAGCGTCCCAAGGAGCGGAGTTGAAACTGTTTATGTCCAGGATGTGAGAGGTCTGTAGATAGTTTCTCAGCCCTCCTTCTCACCCGTGCTATATATAGGTCTTCAATGAAAGGCAGGCTGGTTGCAACTGTTTTATTTTGCAGTTCTAAGTATCAATTGGGAGTCCGTACTTGTCCTGTTTAGTTACTGTACCAAACCAGACAGGGAGGTGGGTCATGATTATCACAGGAAATTAGACATGGGGTTCCATGAATTTCACAGAGGGAAGAAGGAATGGCCTTGGGGGACAAGACAAAAATAATAGGCAGCCATCCGATAAATGAAACCTGGGTCCAGAGCAGCTTGGTAACCTGAGAAAAAGTTTAAAACAAGACCCTGGGCAGATGTGCATTCAGATTTGAAAGGCTATTTTACAATATCTTTACTATAAATAGTATTGGCATGCTGCACTTGGGTTACCTAGTCTGGTTTACCTTGGAGGGTTATTGGCAGTTGTTAGTTATAAAACATATAAAGAACAGTTGCTGGAATTGGGTATGTCTAGTTTGACGAAAAGAAGACTAGAAGAAGACATGATAGCAGTGTTGCAATATCTCAGGGGTTGCCCCAAAGAGGCAGTCAAGCTATTCTCCAAAGCACCTGAAGGCAGGACAAGAAGCAACGGGTGGAAACTAACCAAGGAGAGAAGCAACCTACAACTAAGGAGACATTTCCTGAGCTAGAATTAAGGAGAAATTTCCTGAAAATGAGAACAATTAACCAGTGGAACAACTTGCCTCCAGAAGTTGTGAACGCTCCAACACTGGAAGTTTTGAAGAATAGATTGGAGAACCATTTGTCTGAAATGCTATAGGGTTTCCTGCCATTCAGGGGGTTGGACTAGAAGACCTCCAAGGTCCCTTCCAACTCTGTTATTCTAAATTCTAAAAAACAGCTACTGGAGACTGCAGGAACAGGGATTCTATACATTGTGTTATCTCCATATTCTTTCCTTTGTCAGCAGTGGCACAGCACAACTATATATCCTGTTCTTAAGCATGTTCATCCACTCTTTGTTGTTATATTTGTTATTTGCTATAAAAAATTTAAAAAATCCACCCATTACAGAAATCATTGATTTTCAATCTTAGCAACTTTAAGATGCGTGGATCTTCAACTCCCAGAATTCCCCAGCCATATTCTGGTAATTATTTATTTTAGGAAATTTATATTGCCACATATTCTCACACACGGCGACTGGTATACCTGTACCTTTGTTATAGTTCTGTACTTCTGATCTGGTAAAACGACTACAATGAATAAAATTTCTATTGCATTCAAAAATCAAGTTAGGTTACAGAAGTTAGCAAGAAAGGGACATAAAAAGGATAAACATTAAAATGGACATTTGTTCAAATGGACAATCAAAATATTGTTGTTACAGTATTAATGTTATTGTGATGTTATTGTAAACATCTTGATTATGATTGCCTAAAAGCAATTGTACCCAGACAACACACTGTTCAATTGAAATGGAATTTTTATATATTATATTAATAAAACAAATAAAACTTGAATGCTGAGGATCGGGAGCGATCCAAAGCGCCAAATTTGGTTCAAAAAATAAAAAATCAAGTTAGGTTAGTTGCAGAAACGTAACCTCTCTTTTAGGCAAACCACTAAAAAAAGTGGACCCGTTGAGCAAACCATGACTGTGTGACTAGGAGCAAGATTTGCAAACATTGGCAGCAACCGGATAAGAAATTAAGCATACGAATCCGATTTCCAATTGAAAAAAAACATATAAATAAATAAAATATAACAAATGTCACCTTTTTCATAATAATGTGAGGTCCACCATGAAAGATGAGATGATAAAAATTAACCCAGTTTGTGGAAATGGCAAATTCTTTGGCCAAGGGGAAAAAAACTCAATAAAGACTTTTTGTTTAAAGACTGGAAGCTTTATATGGAGGTGGGGTTTTTTTTCCAGAAAAAAGACTGAGCAGCTGATTGAATAGATTTGAGGATAAAAAAGGGTCAAAGGAGAAGAAGGGTAAGATAGCAATTACTCAATAGAAAATCATAATTCTATGTTTTCTTCCTTTTTTCACTTCCTTTTTTAATCTCTTTATTTGTTCGTTTTCTTACACTTTTATGACCTTGTGGGGGGCGGGGGGGAACCTCCCTAATAAATCTAAATCCAAATAGCTTCACGCCGTGGCGATGCTCTCCGAGATCCCCTTGCACCACAACTCCCATGTTTCTCCTTCTACTACAAGTCCCATGTGTCTCCAAGCCTCCCGCCTTCTACTTGCAAACCTCCCTTAAGCGAGAGAGCCAACCGCTCCCGTTTTCGCCCGGCAGAGGGCGCTGCGTGGCGTTTCCCCAGCCACCCACCGCCGGGCGGAAGCGGCGCCGCTCTGGCCGCCCTCCGGCCCTTGCGCTCGTCTGCTCCCTTCCTCCCTCTTCTGCGGGCTGCGCGTCGCCGAAGGTCGCCGCCGAGTCGGGAGCGCGCGGTGGGGAGGGGAGGGGAGGGGAGCGGGGGGCAACGCAGCCCCCCGGGAACGAGCATCCCCTGGCCCGCCACGGGGCCTGGCCGCCTCCATGGAGACTCTGGGGACCCCCGTCCCCGGGAAAAGGACCCTCGCTGTATCCTTAGCCCAGCTGGTGTGGGAGGGGGGGGGGAATTTGGGGGGGGGGGGGGGGGGCGTCTGTGGGGCGGTTGTCTAAGTGGGAGGGGCAGGCTCTGTCCTTGTCCTGGGAGGGGCAGCTCGAAGGAGAGCCCCCCTCTTCCTTAAAATCCAGCCCTCTTGGCTTTGGAGTGTTTCCCCCCCCCCAAATTAAAGCGGGGGTTTGGGGGGCACAGGGGGGGGGGGGGGGGGTCAGGCCCTGCAGCGCCCCAGAAATGGGGGTGATGTTCATGGAAGATTGCCTGGCTTGCTTCCTGCAGAAGGACTTCCTCTTGAAGCCCAGGGACGGCTGGGTAGTGGATGATGGGGCCACCCTCCTTTGCTGCTGGCTGGGTAGTGGGCAGTGGGCTTCCTCCTTTGCTGTGGGCTGAGCAGGGGACTATGGGCTTCCTCCTTTGCTGCGGGCTGGGCAGGGGATGATGGGCTTCCTCCTTTCCGGTGGGATGGGCAGGGGATGATGGGCCACCCTTCTTTTCTGCGGGATGTGCAGGGGATGATGGGCCACCCTCCTTCCTTTGCTGTGGACTGGGCAGTGGATGATGGGCACCCTCCTTTGCTGTGGGCTGAGCAGAGGACGATGGGCACTCTGCTGCAAGCTGGGCAGGGGATGATGGGCTTCCTCCTTTCCTATGGGCTGGGCAGGGGACGATGGGCACCCTCCTTTGCTGCTGTCTGGGCAAGGGACGATGGGCTCCGTCCTTTCCTGCCGGCTGGGCAGGGGACGATGGGCTCCCTCCTGACTGGGCAGGGGACGATGGGTACCCTCCTTTCCTGCCAGCTGGGCAGGGGATGATGGGCTCCCTCCTTTCCTGCAGCTTCCTGGGTCATCTGGGATGGCATAACCAGGAGAGGCCTGCCAGCACCCAAATTCCCCTGGTATTAAGGGTAAGGGTACCCAGAGTTGCCTTGTGAAATTTGCTTGCCAAGGAGAGCGTGCAAAGCAGCCTTTGCCAGGTTCCTGTTGTTCTCCTCCTCCTCCTTCCAGCAGGCTAATTGAGATGCAAACAGTGCGGCGATGTGCCTGTTTCTGCTGCTGATCCAGGAGGTTGGGGGTGGGAGGGAATCCTTGCGATGGATGGCAAAGCACCCGGGCTCTGCCGCTAAGAACTCCCATGTTTTCAGCCTGGTTTTTATAAGTTTGGGAGAGCTCTTCTCACCATAGTACAGGCTGGTGAACGTATAGAAAGATGTTTATAGGTATCTGGACCTCTCTAGATCTCTAGAAACAAGATTCTAAGATTTTGCTGATCTTCTCCGGCTCTTTTATCTGTTGTCTTCCCTTTCTTGTACTTTCCTCAGCCCATCTAGTCTGTTTGTATCTATCTATCTATGTCGATTTCTGTCTGTCTGTCTCTACCTATGTCTGTCTATCATCTCAATTGATCTATCATCTATATATCTCTGTCTGTCATCCCTCTATTATCTATCAATCTGTCATCTATATCAATCTTATCTATTTAACTATCTGTCTACTGTCATCTATCAAACTATCTCTATTTCTGTCTGTCTATATCTATGTCTGTCTCTCTGTCAATCGATCTATCAATCAATCTAATACCTGTCTATATCTCTATCTATCTCTGGCTATCATTTCTCTATTGATCGATCGATCGATCTGTCATCTATATCGATCTATCCATATATCTACTGGTATCTATATCTACCCACCTACCTACCTATCATCTCTTTATCATCTTTTTTTCCTAGTCCATTTTCCCCAAATCACAATCCCAAAGTATGCGAGCCACAGAACAGATTTCCATATTCAGCAGTTTCATTTCTTATACTCTCAGGTGCCGTAGGCAGTCAGCCGAGAAAGCCTTTTTTTCCCCCTTGCAGGTAAATGAGTTTCTTGGAAACACCTGGCTGGGATTGCTGTTGGAAAAGGAACTGAACTTAATACAGGGGGGGAAAATGGTTCTTCTGCTGGTATATTAGCACACAGCAGATCTTAGTTTTAAAGCATCGAAGTCAGATGTTCAACTCTAACCACACTGCTTTCCGAACTGATGGTGATGCTGTGTTTTTCAATCACTTGCTGGTCATTCTTGCTAAAGTATACAACAGTGCTTTTTTTCAGGTCAAATGCTTTGGCTTGTACCTCTCTCGCTCTCCCTTTTTATGAAAATGTTCTTTAAGAAGCTGGCAGAGAGAGGTGAGGTGGGGGGGTGGAGCTGGCACGACAAGGCTCTGAGTTTTATCCTCTTTCAGAGGTTGAATAAGATGGAGAGAGAACAGAACAGAACAGGATACGGGGGACCCTGCCGGTTGGCAATTGCCGGCCTTCGAGGGGAAAACTATCCTTCCTTGCTTTTCGCTCTTCCTTTTTCCTTAGCTGGTCTTCAGGGCGTGGAGGTGAATGCAGGTCAGCAGATGCCGTGTGAGTTGAGCCTGGTCCAACGTGGCGGAGAATATGAGTAAGTCCCCAGGGAAGTGTGAACATTTCTGTCACCACTGCTTACATATCTGTACACAGATAGCCAGAGCACTTAGATTTATATACCGCTTCACAGTGCTTTACAGCCCTCTCCAAGCGGTTTATAGAGTCAGCCTCTTGCCCCCCAACAATCTGGGTCCTCATTTGACCCACCTCGGAAGGGTGGAAGGCTGAGAGTCAACCTTGAGCCTGGTGGGATTTGAACTGCCAAATTGCAGGCAGTCAGCAGAAGTAGCCTGCAGTACTGCACTCTTAACCACTGTGCCACCGTGGCTCATCCTTGCACTTGTAGCCTAAGGCAATATTTCCAACCTTAGCAACTTTTAAGATGTGAGGACTTCAACTCCCAGAATGCCCCAGCCAGTATGTAGTCCCCATTTGCACTACAGAAAATCATTGTGTAGTCTCTTGAGTTTGGACAAATGCTATAATGCCATTCCATACGTGTGTGTGTGTCAGAGAGAGAGAGAAAGAAAGAAAAGAGAAAGAAAGAAAGAAAGAAAGAAAGAAAGAAAGAAAGAAAGAAAGAAAGAAAGAAAGAAA